CTTTGGAAACCTCTTCTGGAACAAACCTACGCTACAGGGAGGAAAAACAGAGGCCTAGTGTGGTCAAGCACCCTTGAGGTATCACTCAGCTTGGGGATCTCTGGAGAATAACATGTCAGAACCCTTTCAACAGCATTTTTTTCTTTTGGTGAAAGAGAAAGCAAAACCAATGATGAAATATGGGGCTGAGAAAACCTGTGACAAGACGCCTGCTCCCTTACCCCAGAGCAGGATCTAACCACAGGCAGCTAAGCTCATATTTGTGGTTGTTAGGTCCTGGGTGAAGCCTAGGACAAGTTACTGGTTAAAGCACTGGTCACAGGACTGTGCCAAGCTGTCAGGCACAGGGACACCGAGGGATGCTGTAAAACAACTGGAGTTTGTATGTCTCTTCTTGTGGATTGCTAGCTATCAGCTTTCTGCAAAGTGGGGAATGCCCTAAAGCACCAGCAATTGCCTTCCTGGAACTATCTTACTAATGAAAACCAAACATATTTGCATTAGTCTTGTAACCCCCATGAATTCTCTCTCTTCTGAAGCCTTTCTCCCCCTGCACCAGCCTTGCCAAAATGTATTGTTCTTGTTAAATGCTCCTGGTATTTAGACTTTTTGACTTCCTTATCAGCTGTATCCTTGTACTGTAGGTCCTAATTAGGCAAATTACATTTCTTTGCCTTCAGATACATATAGGTATAATCTAGGAGTAACCTTGCCAGGTAGGTTCTTGTCTTGCTGCATAAATGGCTTCTGGGAAAGAAGATACAAAAATTTGCTAAAAACTTGTGTCAGAAGTTTTGTTTTCCCTCTAACAACTCTGTTTGGCAGTACATGATATTCCCTCTAGGAAGAATGGGAAGATTAATGACACTGTTCTGTAGCAGCTACAGTTTTAAGGACACAGACAAGACTTTAGAGCATGTGGTACACAGCTGGAAAAATATCACATTAAGTTCTTGGCACACAAACCCTTTTCAGGCCCAAAATAAAGGCAGAAGTCACCGATATGATATACACTTGGCAGTTGCTCCAATTTAATATGCATTGCATTGGGAGAGGTTAGACACTCTGGTCTGTTCCTGGAGCTATTGACTCCTTCTCTGTGCTCTTCAAGGATGCCTACTCTCCTCTCAGAGATGTAATAGCTGATATGCAGCTGACGAGATCCCAACTACCCTTCTGACCTGGTACTTACCTCTGATGTTTCCTGCTGCTTTCCAGGACCTGAAGAAGGTCTTGTGTAAAAGTTCCTCCCTACACACCCAGCTAGAGAGATTTCCCCTGTACCATCCAGCAAACCGGTGTCCCCAGGTTCAGATCTGCCACGGCATGGCTGGCTCCACCCCTCTCCTCAGGGAGAGGAGCTGCACAGGCAGCTCTAGCTTCCCTCCCTCCCTGACTCTACAAGGCTCTTAGCCGTGTCTCCCCACAGTAGCCACCTTCTCAGGAGAGCAACCCCACATACCTTACTCTGCTCTGGGGCCTCTTGTAACTCAAACTTTATTATTGTTTTTTTCTGGATCACCAGGAGCTGCTGAGGGAGCTGGGGGGCTCAGCGGGGAGAAAAGGAGGCTCAGGGGGATCTTCTCACTCCCTACAACCACCTGACAGGTGGGGGTCAGGCTCTGCTCCCAGGGAACAAGAGACAGGACAAAAGGAAACTGTCTCAGGCTGCATCAGGGCTGGACATCAGGAGGAATTTTTCCACAGGAAGGGTTGTCAGTCATTGGAAGGGGCTGTCCAGGGAGGTGGTGGAGTCACCATCCCTGGAGATCAAGGAATGACTGGATGTGGCAAGTAGTGCTTTGGTCTAGTTGACAAGGTGGTGATCAAAGATTGAACTTGATGATTTCAGAGGTCTTTTCCAACCTAAATGATTCAGTGATTCTGTAACCTCCCCCCCAAACCAGGAGCCTCAAAAGAATCAGACCAAGGCAATTTTTCCTTCCCTAATAGCAAAATATATTTTAACTGCTGTAATACAGTAGATTATAAACAGCTCTTCTGCGTGACAGAACACAGTACAGGTTGCATCATGAAACAGCTGGGGCCAGGGCCAGGGCCAAGGCTGTGCTGTCCCTGCTGTGCACCTCACAGGGAAGGGGCAGCCAGGGCTGCAAGCACCAGGACAAGAGAGGAGATGGGGCTGGCTCGGGGGTACAGCAGGAGCTGCTCATTGCCCTGATGCCAGAGCACAAGGGCTTACACTCGTGCCACACTGCCGATCTTCTGGCACATCCACAGTCAGAAGCAGGAGCTCAAACAGCCCAGTTTTCCTTCTGCAGGCAGATCCCCATAATCCATGCCATTCCATGCAAAACAATTCCCATCAGGATTTCTCCCAGCTCCCACCACAGCACGCAGCACGTGTCTTGCTCAGACAGCTGTTGCGAAGAGCACCCAGCGAGCAGCTCGGAGGCAGCACTGCTTCACCCCCCAAGGCTGGAAGCCAAACACCCCAACAGAAAGGATGTACTAGGCATGAAGACACCACAGAGGTTCAGTTTTTTCAAGGATAAATTCCCTTCTGCATGGAAACCAGGACACATTTTGCCACATTAATACTGATTTTTGTGAGGTTATTTTGCAAGGAGCTGCAGCTGTACTGGCTGCCATTCTGGAGCTGGAGACTTCCCACCTCCCAGCTGAGGGAGTTACCATGGAAGCAAAGCTGCAGAGTTCTTCTGTTGGAAAGAACCACAGAAAACAGTATAGATTATATCAAGAACTTGCAAAGGGCAGGTTGGGAACCTCTGTATGCTCATTACTGACCAGAACACCTCACTGCTAGCTCTGGCACTCACAGCCCAAGAAAACTCAAACAAACATGGTGTAACTGAGTAATTAAACAAGCAATGTGCAAAAGACTTAGTATTTCCCCTGCAGCACTCTCAAGAAAAATGAAAATAAGCAATTCATCAAACATTCAAAAGCAATTAAAAAAACCCCCACAGAATTGAAAGGAATCCAAATGTTAATGCCCTGACAGCACAGTTGCCAGATACCTTGATCTACAAGGCTAGAAACCTCAACTTGTCAAAAACTAAGACTAGTTCCAACAGCTGAGCATCCCTTTCTGGTTGTGTTTTGCTTGCCAAATGCTCAAGCCCTCAGGCTTCAAACAGTGAGGATGCTGAGTAAATTCCTTTTAGGCATATGACAGTGCTAGCTGAGAGGGAAACACCAAAACTGGGCACAAAGTGCCATCATTTGGTCTCCTTTGGAGAACACTAAGACAGTATCAAGAAGACAAACCAAGACAAAGCAAGTCCCTAATCCATCATACCCTCTTTGAGTGCAGTTACATCTCTAGTGTTTTGAGCACCAAATGAAAAAGAATTGGACTGAATTTAATCCTATCCCAAGGTGGTGACAAAACTGTTTGGCCAAAGGTTGGGGGTTTTGTCTGTTTTTTCAATAAGGAAGCTTAGTTGCTCCAGAACTTCTGTTCTTTCCTCCCACAAAAGGTATGGCGAAAGATTTAGGATTACTCAAGCTGAATGAGGATCAAGTAATCCATTTAATTCTCAGGATTTTATACACTAATCCTGCCAAGTTTGAGTATATATGTGAACCTCTTCCTCTGAAATCAACCTCAACTGTTTCAACAAACAAGTTCTAGTAGGACATGTTTTCTGAAGAGACACACACACACACCCCATATTTGGCAAATCTGAGCTGACAATGTCCTTTCTGAAGAACAGGATTCCTTCTCACAGAAGGCTGAACACCTGGAGGAGTGTAAGCATTACCAGCTTCCATGAGATTACTTCTGACTCAGCTTAGAGAAAACAGAAGCCCAAAAGAGAGACTGAAGTGGACTGGGAGACAAGTCCATCAGTGGTCCCAGTACTGCTGGTATCAAACACTCAGGGCTGTAGGTCAGTATGGAGATGCTGTTACCAAAAAGTACCAATAAAGGACATTTGAGTAATTCTGAAATCTTTGTCACCAAAGTGAAGGTACCTCCATCAGTTGACCCTCTCCAATAGTGGGAGCAGCAGTTTCAGTACAACTGGAGCAATCTGTACCTAGACACTGTGTAAGTTCCCTGTTGTGCTTAGCACCTGACAGAACAACTAAACTGAAGGAACTCTGACTAATTAACATACATGGAAACACCAAATTCATGTAACGTCCTGCCTCACCGCTGTGTATGGGAGGATGTCCTACCTCTCCACAAAGCAGAGGGCGATACCTAGGAAGCTGATCTTCACCTGAAGTCCACCCCCAATGTCAGAGCAGATGACAAAGCAGCACTGGGTCAATCCTCATTCCCCAACAGCATTAGAAGCTGCTACAACACACATGGGAAGCAGCACCAAGGTGTGGTGGCACATTGAACTGCTCATGGCCATTTCAACCAAGTCCTGCTATGTACTGTAATGTTGATCTCATTTTCTTAAACTTGGGTCATAGTATTTCAAATCTTTCTCAGTAAAGAAACCCTTAACAACCTGTATATCTCAAAGCAAAAGCCCTTTTACAAGTTAATCATATTAAAAGAATTGATTATCTAGAGCAGGAGAAGAGCGAGAAGATAAACTATTCCTCAAGCCATAAGGGTCTGCAGGTAACAAAAATGCTGTAAGGCAGTTGGGAACTAAATGAATAGAGAGGAAACATGAATTTTCAGTGTAAAAAGTAATATAGAGACTGCACACACCATGCCCTGCTTCTGAACCTGACTCTGTAACACAGCCACCAGCACACCCACAATTTCCTCTTCTTCTGCCCGTTCCACACCTGTTGGCAGCCAACACACCACAGTGCACTTCAAAGCCAGCCAGGAATACTTTGGCCATCTTCAGAGCAAGGAGGCAAATATCCTGGTGCTCTGCCACTTGTCCATGTCCCAGCAGCAGACAGGACCACAAAGAATAGAAGTTTTGTAGACATCCCATTACCAAAAGGGAGAAAAAAAAATTGCAAAGGGATGGGTGAGGAAGATGGACGGATACCAACAGTGAGCTACCAGCAAATCTGATTAGCCTGCCTCTTGTCCAGAGAGCAGCAACTTGGGAGGACCCCTGGATGAGTAGGATTCCAGTAAACTCCACCTTCAGCTCAATGTTTTACTGGCATGGAAATGGCTCAAAGTGGGACAGCATGCAATCGATGCTGCCTAGGAAGTCTGTTGCAATCCAGGTCAACTGGTTTGCTCCAGCAAATGTTTTAAAAAAATTACAGTTTCTCCCCAAGAATCAGGAGGCACAACTTCCCTTAGAAAAAGTCTGTAGTGAGTTAGATCATTGGTCCAAGTACTTGGAGGGCAACTCTGATTTTCTGTGACAACACAGCCAGGGCACAGCACTTTTACATCTTCGTATGACACGACCATGAGCGTGGCTTCAGGTAGTCCAGGAATGTGGGCTGCAAAACATGGAGAGGCAGTCAGTTAGTCACAGGTCAACAGCATCAGCTGTGGTGTGAGATCAAACCCCTGTTCCTATCCTCACTAAACAGTGCTTGGAACTGTCCCTACACCCACAGTTCTGATACATCAGGTAAACGCTGTGCCCAGTAGCATGTTGTATCAAGAAATAAAGTAATTTATGATGGCAAAACTCTTAACTCAGGAGAATCAAACTTCAAATAGAGGTTGCCTGAGGATACCTTTGGTTAAAACTGAAATCAGCTAGGACATCAGGAAGTTTTATGCAAAACAGAATCTGGTGCCAAGAAAATGAGTTACAAGGCAGAGAAAACACACCAACAAAACCCCAGATGGACCAGGGTGGTGAGACACTGGCACAGGCTGCCCAGGGAGGCTGTGGCTGCCCCAACCCTGGCACTGTTCACAGCCAGGGTGGATAAAACCTTGAGCAACCTGCTCTGGTGGGAGTCCCAGGGCAGAGGGTTGGGACTCTAAGGTGCATTCCAATCCCTTAACATTCTACGATTCTATGATTTACAGGCAACCACTTCTCCCCACCACCCACCCTAGCCTGGGAGAGGCACAACAGGCACAGTTTTTGTGGGCCTCCTACAAAAGTTTCTCCTGACCTCACCAGCCAAGTGCTGCAGTTCCATTCCCACAGCCTAAATGAGGCCTAGTGTAGGGGCTTATATCCTCAGAAAAGTGGGAAACCACCCTCAGTTTCAAGTAGTGAAATGCTGCTAGCATAAAAAGAGCACTAACAAAAGCACTTCTGTTAGGCAGTCTCTAGGCTGAATAGCTCCTAAAGAGCTGATGTAGCACACTGCCAGCACAGCTTGTGTAATTCAACCTCTGCCCAACCCCACAGCAAGAAAGGACAGGCCACTGGCACTGTGGGTTCTGCCCCAGGGAGCTCAGTCACTCACGTTTTCCGTAGGGCAGTACTGGCGTGCGTACCACTCCTGGCTGTAGAGGCAGATGATGACACCTTGGCCCAGGAAGAGGGAAGTCCACATGATCACATTCCAGAAGGGACCTTTCCGACGGTCATTGAGGGTGAAGTTGAAGACCACTAGAAAGAGATGAAAGGAGAAGCATTGTTCAGAGACAAACTCCAGATGAAAGCAGCAAAGATCACCTGATTTCCCTGGATCTTCCCCTGCCTTCCCTTCATCTCTGGAACAACAAGGCCACTCCATGAGGTCAGTAAAATGCAAGCAAATCTGATTATGCTTGGCCACAGAGCAAATACTATGAGTTGATTCTGCCATTTACTTCCACTAAGTTTGCTAACAAGCTGGCCCAGCTGTGTGGCTCTGGGGATCTATATGGTTTGTGCTGCAGTGGTGACCAAGAGTTAGAGGGCTCTCCCTCTAACTCAAAACCCAAAATGAAATGCAAGAGCTCTCATTTCTAAATAGGCTCTTTCTCAATATAGTAGCAAAGTAATACTTGTCTTATACTATGGCTTTAAAGAGGAAGACTTATAACCTGCTGACAAACAGCAAAGAGGAAGCAGAGCTATTAAAACGTGCAGTGTAACAGGAATAGCAGTATGGCACATAGAGCTCTGTTCCTCTCCATCAATACTTGTTCATTTCTGCTCCAAGCTCTCAAATCCTCGACGTGTGTATATAGACATCTATCTACTGAGCTGCAAAAATCCACTCACAAAGCTTGGACTCACAGTTGCAACCCTTGGACAGGAGTCCTGTGTGTTAGTGCCTAAAGGACAACTGGCATCACTGTAGAAGGGCAAAGCATGCTTGTCTGAGAAAAATCCAACCCACCACAACCCCAAACCCACTGCCACACTCCCTTCCTTCGAACTTACCTCCAAAGCATGTAAACAGGCAAAAGAGAACTGGATAGAAGAAGCCAAAGCAGATGCTCAGGACATACTCGTGCACAGCAGCTGACACAGTGAAGACAGACAGCATAGCTGCTGCTCTGAACTTCTTACCAAAAAACTGGGAGAGAAGAATACCAAATATTAGAAGCTACTCTGCTGTGGTTTTCCTTTGGTTGTGGCAACATTTTGGTGTTTTTTTCCTAAGAGGGGCCTCCTCCAGCCAAAAGGTGTCCATGAAATGCTAAGTGCTTCACAGAGCACTCTGGGGTTTTGGTGTTCTTCAGGCATTTCTGGTCTCCTGCATAAGCACTCAGGTTGTGCACACTCATGAAGTATCTACCACAGCTCATCAAAACACTGCAATCTGAGCTCAGTCTGCTGAGTCAACCCCCACATTCCTACATCTCAGACCCACCCTGTGCACACATTAAGGACTTGGAAATGAGCAATGGATCTCTCTCCCAAAAGCACAGAGGCTGCCCACAACACCTGTGATGAGACACTTTTGTCCTTCTGAATGGACAGGGATGCTGCACCTTGATGAACGTCCTGTTCTGCCCAGTGGTTGAATGTTTAACAGAATACCACATCCACTTGCTACTCACCCAAAGGAAGTCCCTGTAGGCATAGTAATAGAGCCAGTCGTGTACTACCACGTTCCACGTTCGGTAGTAGTTTGCATAGGATGTGGAATTCCACCAGTCCTGAAAGCAAAGTTGAAAGACCATAAATTTAATTTAGTATAACGCATTCTACGGGGCTGTTCTGGGGTACCAAGGTGACAAATACTGAACAGAGTAATAACCAAGCTAACATAACAATCTGACCATGGGACTATGCTTTACATCACACTTTTGACATTCTACACTGTATATTAAAGTTTGGCTTTATCCCAAACTGCAGTGGCTGTGATAAAAGAACAGAGTGCTGATGGACCTACTGGGTAGGGCTGGTGATGGTTCTATTTGTGCACAGAGTATATTACCTTAATACAACTCAGGCTGCCAAGCAGAAATCAAATCTGTTCTACAACACAGCAACAAAGTTAAGCCTTAACAGTGTAAAACAAGCAAAATCCCATGGATGCTTTGTTTGGTAAAACAATCTTCAGCTTCCTCCTCCTTCCATTTTCATTAGGACAATGACTTTTAGAGGCTTTATGAACTGTACCTCCTGCTTCTTACCTTGTAGAACATCCTGTCTGCAAAGCGCAGCATCTCGGCAAACGCATTGAGCCAACAGTGAAGGAACGCAAAGAACACCAGGAAGAGAATCAGTACACCTAGGAACAAGGCAGTTCAGACTGGGTTTGTAAGAGTTTTCTCTCAGCTATTAGCAACAACACATAACACAGTCAAGACTGTTCTCATAGGCACTGAGAGATGAGCTTTACTCTTTTGCACAGGTAGAATCATCGAATCATAGAATTTAGGAGTTGGAATGGATCTTAGAGATCATCTAGTCCAAACCCCCTGCCCTGGGCAGGGACACCTCCTCACTAGAGCAGGTTACTTAAGGCTTCATCCAACCTGGCTGTGAACACTGCCAGGGTTGGGGCAGCCACAGCCTCCCTGGGCAACCTGGGACAGTGTCTCACCACCCTCACAGGAAAAATTTTTTTTTCTCACATCCAACCTACACTTTCCCTCCTTCAGTCTGAACCCATTACCCCTTGTCCTATCACTGCAGTTCCTAACACAGAGTCCCTCTCTGGCTCCTTGTAGCCCCTTCAGATACTGAAAAGTTGCTCTGAGGTCTCCACATAATCTTCTCCTCTCCAGGCTGAACAGCCCCAACTTCCTCAGCCTGTCCTCATATGGTAGATGTTCCAGTCCTCTTTGCAACTTTGTGGCCTCCTCTGGACTTGCTCCAACAGTTCCATGTCCTTCTTATGTTGAGGACACCAGAACTCCGTGCAGCATTCCAGCACAACAATATTTCAGTTTCTCACCACACCCGGCCATGCTCACCCCCGAGGGCAACAGCAAGGCTGCCACAGAGCCTACACCTTGACTTTGAACAGTTAACTTAAAACCCCAGCTTTTATTTTATGCTGCTGATTCTCAAGTTGAACACTAACACTGAAGTCTGCCCAGAAGACCTGCTTTGCTGATCTCTGCCCATCATGAACACATCTCATGAAGCACTTCTCCCTTTCACCACTTCCACAAAGTTAACAGTCACTCCTGGATCCAGGTCTTACCTGGTAGAATGGAGTTGAAGATGCAGAGGACCAGCCCGCGAAGATTGAAGGTTTCTTGACTGCTGTTGCGAAACTGAGGGATGCAGAGCCTCACAAAGATGTAGTAGGCATAGAAAAGTGAACCAAGCACCTGGAACAGAAACACCCCAAAGCCTGACTTCACAGGAGAAATGCACAATTAACACATCACCATCTGCCAGCTCCAGGAGAGAACAGCAGCTGCCAGCACAAGTCAAAATAATTTACTTTACACAGCTGCCAACAAAGCTCCCTAAGGGTCCAGGCAGAAAGTAAGCCCCAGCAATCCCTGCAGCACACTGACAGCCAGGAGCTAAATCAACTTGTCTCTTCTACTACAGCAGCTGTCAGTCTCTCCCAGTCCTATCAACCCACAAGTTATGGCACAAAAGATCTGTGCCAATGCCAAAAAAGGGAAGCACCCTGTGATCTAGGTCCAAACCAAGAACAGAAATAACTGAGAAACACTTAGTGTAGGTAAATCTAATATTATTTCTTTTCCTTTATCCCAAAGGAGATGGTTACAGGCCAAAGCACCTGAGGCTTTCTCTGGCTCTTAAATCCATGTTCTGCATGCTGAGGTCAAAATGCAAGTCACTGCTTTAAATACTCTGCCTGCTGTGAGGCAGGTGTGTGCTCTGTCCCCCTCTTTAGTCCAAGAGGAAGCAGCCAAAGGCCTTTTTAAATTGTTTTGCTTTTTAAACCATGAACATTTCATGTGACCATAAAGGCTTCAATCACACAAATCCATTACTTGGAAACACATCCACAAGAAGCTACTGAAGCTCACGGCCACGAATGTGAAGAACCACTCACTCAGCCTGAAGCTCAAATAAGCACTGAAGATTTGGACTCCAGGCCTCATCATTTCAAAATTGCTCTGAGTATCTGCAGACACAGCTAGGCTAGTGCACTGCAACACAGCATTAGGGTAAAGAGAGAGGGCCAGAGCAAGGATATTGCTCTACATACACACAGCTTTTTTGTCTGGAGTGAAGTCTGAAGGCTTCATTAAGCAAAGATTTTGAAGTATTTTCTTTCTTAGACACAACCATTAGTGCAGCAAGATCACGGTTTCTTTTTCAGTCACTACAAAGCATTCTTTCCTGGTAAGCTCACACCAAGGGATGACTGATTTAATGCCAAAGGGACAGCTGCTGAGCAACACAGCTTAGGTGATCTCCAAGAGTGCACTCTGCAGAAGGCTGCACCACTCACCTGTGCAAACTTGGTAGCTACATAGCCCCATCTTATCGTGGGATTCCTAGGAAAAAGAACACGATATCACAGCTAAATAGGAGCTCAGACAGCTAAACCCTCCAATTCCCGATTCTCTGAAAAAACTGGGGTTTGAATTCCAGAATTCCTCATCTCCTGACAACCAGGGCATGTCTGCCCACATTGCTGGTTCCTCACTTTTAACTGCAGCAGCACCACAGCAATTCCATAAATGGAAAAGCATCTGGAGGGCAGCACTGTCCAGTTACGTAGGGGTGGGATCTGCCCGACTGCCACGGACAGGACTGCTGACTCCACACTGGCAAAGTGCAACCCAGCAATGTACAGAGAAGTTTGAGAGCTCCCACTCTTAAAGGCTTCAGCCTCCCTCCTCAGTCTCAAGAGTCAGGTGCTCATTAGCAGCACATAAAACACACAAGCCTATAGCAGGAGCTAGATCACATCACTAGATAATCCCTAGCAAGTTCTCAGTTTGTGTCACTTCAAGTGCTTTTCCCAAATGAAGGCAGGAATGTAGAGTCAAAGCACTGTTAGTGTTGAGTGAGTTTCCATGAGCCAGTCCTGCTCTTGCCATCTTTATGAAAGCTCTAACTCATAAACTGATCACACCCAGGAATGCTTAATGCTGGCCTCAGTTTTCAGACCACTTCTGTTCTGTTGTCACTACATTACCTGGGATAGTTGTCTCTGTAGATGAGGGTGGGAGCAAAGAGGAAGTACAGGTACTGAGAAAGTCTGGGAATATGAGCTGTGCCTGGGAAGAGAGGGAAACAGAAAAAAGAACACTGAGATCCTTTTGCTTACTGACAGTTCAGTTTCCCCAGTGCCTTTTTACCCTTTTACCTTTACCACCTCAGAAACCTCAGTCTGGAACTAAAGGTGTGGGATTTGCAGAGAAGAAAACAAACTGGACCTTTCAGATGGAATCTCCCTGGCATGAAGCATAGTTAACAAGTGAATGTAACTAGCTAACTACCTGCTGACACCTTGGTATCACATGTCCTTTCCTCCTGGGGAAGCTGAAGCTGTATCAACATGTGGGTTCATGTTCAGCTCTAACAAGGCTGAAACAGCTTCTGTTCTATAATTGCTGTCAGAGCACTGAGCTGGAGGTGTGCAGGCAACCTCTAAACACCTCTTGCTAAAAGCAGAAACAAGGAGTCCTGTAGAACAAAGACTGAAGACTCAGAAATGACTTAGAGATGAACAACAGTCAAGCTCGTTGTCTAATCCCAAACAAAAAGGTTCAGGCTGAAATTAAGATGCAGAGCCTCTGACTTCCCCATCCATGGTCACCCACTCAAATCCTACCTATCCAGATCATGAGGGCAGCTCAAAGCAATAGAGGGAAAACTAGAGCTGGCTATGCACTGCTGTAAAAAGAAGTAGGGCAAATTACTCACTGGGCTTGTCCTTTCCAGAGGACAGGACTCTGGGTACATTCTCCCGGATGAAGGAATGAGCCTTCATAACAAGACGAACCTGTGAGACCAAAAGAACAGTAGTTTAATACTCTCCCAACTTCCCAATAAAGACTGAATCAAGCATTTTACAGCAACACTTTCAACACCATGGTTTCTCTCCAATTTAGCCCCTTTACAAGGGCTGACATGGATTTATAACTCTGCAAGGTGAAACACTCAGTAACAATTGTGGCTCAGGAGAGTCCAAACACATCTCACTTGCACTCACAGGACCACTGTATACACAAGGACTCTGAGTAACACCAGCAAGACACTAACCAGTTAACGTGGACTTAAAATTGAAGGAAAACCCTGTATCCACTTCAGAAGGCCAAGATGTTTCAAGGTCTTGAAAAAGACTCCTTGAAGTTAGATGTGCTGTACTGCAATTGCCACTACCTGGGGATAAGTTGGTGCCCACATAAATAGTCCACAGCTGCCAAGCAGGGTTTTAAAATTTTGTTTGAACACTGAAGAACCAAAAGGAAGGCCAGTCCAAAGCCAGACCTTCTACACCTATTTCTGCCCATCCTTGTTTTAACCTGATGGTCTGACCAGACCTCCACTCTTGACTTGCTTTCCCTCTCAAAAAATCTTCCACTTTCAATCAAGTTCTGACTAGAGAGCAAAGACAGTTGCTTCTGGGGAAGAGAAATGGAAACAGGAACCATTTGTTGACTATGTACTTGCTTTTTTGGGGGTTGTTTTTTAAAGAGAAATGTCACAGCTTCCTCATGCACTATGGCACAGCATGTTCTTAAAATTAGTTTGAAGCATTTAGCATCCACAAGACAACTAGAAATAAGTGGAATTTCAGCCACAGTAAAATCTTAAATACAGGGTAAAAACCCATGAGTGGTTTCCAGGCCAAAACGAAGTTCAGTATCTACTCTTTCTCATTAGACTTACTGCATGTAACTCTGTCCTCAAGTCAAACTCCAACCACAGCCCTGGCTTCGTTGAAGGAATAAACTAACACTACTTTAGGAAAAAGGACTCTTTCCATTCTGAAAAGGAAATTCAACATATCTAAAGACAGTGGGCAGGGACTTACCTGTTCCAGGATCACAATAAAACGGGAAGCTGGAGGCAGGGCATAGGATATAGCAACATAGGTTGGTCCAATGCCAAGCCCAACTATTTGGAACAGTGTGAACAACATCCCATAGAAGAGAGATCGGACGACACGATGGGAGGAACTGCAATAGCCTTGGGCCCACCAGACAAAGAGGTTGTATGGAATAACGACTGTGGCACTGAACATGCACAGCCAAGTACAGAAGACAACTGGGAACTTCCCAAAAACAAAGACCAGGAGATCAAATCCTAGGACCAGCCTAGAAGAAAAGAGACAACATTCAGTGTCCATTGCCTGATTAGAAATACTTTTACTCCACTAAGTGGCTACAAAACACAAAGTTTCCAGATCATAACTGTCTGACAGCTGGGATAGAAGTGACTGTGGCAGTTTCAGCCTCCAAGTGACCACCTCAAGTCTACCAGAAAATAAGAGAAGAATGTGTGCCATCAGTGCTGTCAGGCACAGCTTACCTGCAAATCCCACAGGGCTTAAGCACATCTTGAAGATCAGCAAGTGCTTTAAGAGTATGCTCAGGCTCACTCATCCCTGCTAAGAACCAGCACCTGACTAAATGATCCACTGCTGATCCAGGATCCAGCTTTTGGGGAACACTCCCAGGTCACCATCACTATTACACTGAGGCTCAGCTCCTCCCAGGAGTTGAACACCTCTACAGGCATGGGGTATTTTAACATCCAGCACTCAAGCCTAGTTTAATCCTGCTTTGTGGGTATTCCAGAGGGACTCAGTTTAGAAGCTACCCAAAAGGCTCAGGGTCATTAGATGGTCAATCCAAATATGTCCAACTCTAGTCCATTAATTGAGTTTAAACCATAAGGTCATAAACAAAAGGATGTTCAACTTTACTGGCTACCAGTCACCAGGGCTTACTCCTACAACAAGAGCTATTCTAAACCAAGAGCAGGGGAGATGACAGTACAGAGTACATCAACAAAAATAATTTGTTCTTACATGGAAGCTCAATAGCAAATTGGATCCAAAGTATCAGATCTAGTTAAACCACAGCAATTACTTAAGTATTTTCAAAAAGCAATCAGGGAATCAATCTAGGCCTAGTAGCTGATTTTAGAGATAAATACCAGTTCTCCCCCAATGCCCATATACCAGCAAGTTAGGATCAGCTAACCAATATCCAACAGCCCATGAAACTGTTCTTACACCCAGACAAGAGGGACAATGATTATAATCAAGATACAGCTCTAGTTTTGTATACTGAATGGCAGATAATCAGCAAGATAAACATATAATCCTACTTGTGTACATGAGAAACAGCTTGCCAAAACACTATTTAATCAACAACAAGTGTGAGGAAAGCAGTCTTTCACAACCTTGTTCACAACTGGCTACCTGCAAAGCACTGCCTTAACAGAGGCTGTGCCAACATCCTTGAGACTTTTCTCCAGGAAAAACAAAATGTTCTATTTTTATTTAAGCACAAGTACAGCATTCCAGAACTGTCATTTTTAAACAGAGGAAGGACTGATGATGTATTTAAAGTTTTTCTAAGCACAGCTCTTCTACAGGCAATACAAGCAGCTGAAAGCTACCATTGCATTGAAGATATCCAACTGAAGCAGTCCACGTTCAGTGATACCTCTCCCTTTTGCCAGCCTTGTGGTGAACTCAGCGTGTTAGGCCAAACCGTGCTGGCCACAATTCTCATGAATACATCCATTTTGGGGTTTCCTAATATCCATCTGTCCAATTTGGAATTAACACATCCCCCTCAACAGGAATTCCAGCATATAGTCTAAGTATGTCAAGTTGAACACAACACCCCAAGGAAGGACTCCCCTTTCTTTCTGCACCATTCTGCAGTTCCATGTGCCTCTGGCAGTGAGCCTTTCCCAGCCCTTGTCCCTGTCTTTCCAACAGCATTCTTACCTTCCTTCATCAATGAAGTCTACTAGAAGTGTACTGAGGATGAAGACAATGAGAAGAGCGATGAACATGTGGTAGATTGTCCTGATGTGACTCACTTCAAACAGCTCACTAAGGGAGAGATGGAAGTTAAGGTACAATCTGGGTGCCAGTCTACACAGACACTTGCTGGGTTTATCCTCTGACAAAGGATAATTAGCCTTTATCCCCAGGGTACTGAGAGGACTGTAATTAAGGGTTACATCTGGGGAAGCCTGCAAGCTGTAGTAGAGATGTTTTAGAAAGAAGCAGAGAGGCCTGAGCAGAGTAGTCCACGTGGATTTGAACATAAGACTGTGGGTGGAAGTTACTCACTCCAAGAGGGACCTCCTGGAAGTAAAGATCTTCCCATGTTCTGGAGGGGCCCTTGAGTTCCTGCAAACAGAGGAGAACATTTAAGACAAAAAAAGAAATAAAGCATCCAGGAAATAGAATCTTGTTATAGGAACAGCTTAAAACAGCTTAAGACTAACTTGGCTTTGTGCAGTTCCTTCTCTGCGCAGGAAGCTGGGAAGAGAGAGGCTGGAGATGAGGAATCCAGGAGTGCCGATTTTGCCACCAAACTGTTCACGAACTCTGTGAAGTGACTGTCCACTTCCTTCATGAAAACTGGCTTCAGTTGCTGACAGAGTGAAAACAGAGCAGGAAATTGTTTAACTTGCTGGATACATTTTCATAGAATATTTATATTTCTATGTTTTATAGAGAACAAGGCATCCAGAAAACATTCCTGTACCATTTGCCAGCAGTAGGAGCCTACTTGGACAAGATCAGGGGCTCACCCTGGGCTGTTCACACACCTCAGGCCAGAGGACTTGAGTAACATTTCTCTATCAGATGCAACACAGAGGAGCAAAGTAAACATCCTCATCTTCATATGTGTGTCTGCAGGGACAGGTATTTCTCACTTGATGGTGCCAAGAAAGTTGGGCTCAGCTTAATACATGAATACATTTCTCAATTTTAACCAGGGGAACATCCTTAGTGTACAAAACTGGGAGGCAGCAAGACTGAAGCTCAAGAATTCATGGAATTAAATATCCCAGTTCCATCTCCCACGCTCCCTTTTCCTCACACAGCTTTGTACAGGTTGTCTTCACTATTAAAAGCCACTTGTATCAGAGTTGCATCATTTTTAGCCTATTCAACTTTTTAATCTCTTATGTTATTAGACAAAGGCAACTTCTGAAGCATCTTGCTCACTAGAGACTTTGGCTTCTCTGGGTGTATGGAAAACTGCAGAGGAGCATCTTCCTCTCTACCATCTTGTTGGCAAAATGCACTGATACAGAGCCAAAAAAGGAGTTCATCAGCTGTGGATGAAGCACAGGCCACCCTGGTCAAAGCCTGCTTCACCTGATAGTTTATTTTCTATAAAGTAAAACATTACTTAACCCTCCCAATAACAACTTACACAGACGAGGGCTACAATTCCTCTTCAAAATGCAGATTGCAAAATGCCAAGATGCTTTCACATCCCTTTTGTCCTGCCTGAAGGCTAGCACTAATTCCTGTATTTTCCTGCTGCAGTATGGTTGGATCTGCCATTCAGTTTCATAACATGAACTTTCAAAGCAGCCAGTGGTTTAGAGGTTATGACTAGAAAAAGCAGGCAAAATTAATTCCCTCAAGGAAAGAAAAGGTAACATGCATCCATTGTACTTCACTGAGAACTTTGGGAATCTAAAGATCCTAAGCTCCCTGTCTCTTCAGAAGACAAAGACTTAGGAGACTTTGGAGAATTCAGGTTAAGTCGTCAGACATTCAATGGTTTTCCCAATACCTGAGCCTAGTGATGAGGCACAGCTGAAAGCTAACCCAAGCTCCTGAAAGCTCTGCACACAACCATCACCTCCAGTACAGGACACAGGCAAGTTTCAAGAAATGACTTCAAGTCTAATTGCGTACTGTGTTTTGTTTTCTTTCTGCAAGTGTCTACTAGCCATATTTGTCTGACCATCCTTTGCCTGGGATTTTTCCAGTTTCAAGATCCAAGTCTACATGATAACTACATATTATTTCATCTAGTTTTCCTACTGATCAGCTGCTCAAGAAACACCTTTGTTTCCCTGATCACCTTCAGAATTCCCAGCTCCTATCTAGTTTCTCATCTCTAAGGTAGAAAAGTAACAGAACTGTTTTCAAGGAGGTTTCTGGAGAAGAGAAGGTTGTGTGAAGTCCTCATATGAGCTTCCAGTATCTAAAGTGGTCTACAAGGAAGCCAGAGAGGGATTGTTCCTCAGGAACTGTAGTAACAGGACAAGGGGAATGGCTTCAAATTGGCAGAGGGCAGATTTAGATTAGATGTTAGGTAGAAATTGCTCCCTGTGAGGGTGCTGAGGCACTGGCACAGGTTGCCCAGAGAAGCTGTGGCTGTTCCATCCCTGGAAGTGTTCAAGGCTGGGTTGTATGGGGCTTGAGCAACCTGGGCTAGGGGAAGGTGTCCCTGCCCGTGGCAGGGGGTGGAATGAGGTGATCTCTAAGATCTCTTCCAACTCAAACTATTCTATGATTCTATAAAATATATGGACAGATGATGCATTCTAATGCAACAACAGCCAAGTAAGCAAGTTTAACTCTCTGGCACAAAACACAGGACAATCTGAAGTGGGACTACATAAAACCAGAAGACCCTGAAGTTAAGATGAATCAGAACTCTACATTATTCCTGTTTCATAGTGGTTTCAAGAGATCTCTCTGGGTCTGACAAAAACTGCAGTAGAAGGAGCAGATTAATATTTAACTTCAAAAATATTTTCCTCTATTTGGCAGCTTCCAGTATAGAATCAATAAGCTTCACCAGTGCTTAACAAAGCAGAAGCTCTTAGGATCTGGCTACTGCTTTTCTGGGAGACAGAGGATTATCTTTGCAAGAGGTATGGACTCGTTCCTTTAAAAACAGGAGAAAAAAACAACCCAAATACTGAGTACTTGGGAATCCAACTTGCAACAGAAGACACTGGTGCTCTCTAGTACAGCCTAATTTTGCAGCATGCATGCACACATTTCTACCAAAAATGTCACATAGAAATTCCTACTCCTCTTGGAGTGCTCAAATTTCCAGGCCAGACAAAGCACCATTCATTCCCATCAAAACACTGCTCTTTTTTTTTTTTTTAAAACAGTGTGTCCCCTTTTTTTCAGCCTAATCTCTTCTCAGCAAGAGTTTAGCAGATGATATTTCCTTAAACTACCTCTTCCCTTTAGTTGTCAGTGATGAGGTTGCTTCCTCCTAACAGCCCTCCAGGGTTGATAACAACACGTGTGAGCAGGGCACAAGTTCAATAGATTAAACCAAACACAAGCAGAGTACAGACCCTACACTAGCTGCAATTACAGACCAACACACATGAAAATAATTCTGTGCCCCAGAACAGCAGAACCTGGGCAATAATCGATGAGGAGAGAAAGTTGAGGGAAGTAACCCTGTTGCTTACTGATAAAGTTGAAGCAATTCCTCAGCATTTCACTCATTCTAAGAAATTTAGTACTTTTGGTCACTGAAACATGACAACACTCAGCCCTGACCAAGTGAGAGTTTAGGAGGAACTTAAGGCTTTCAGATTGGACTGCATGAGTAACAGTGACCAGTGCTTTCTGCTAGTCAAGCATCTGTCTAGACCTCAGAAAAGATAAATTGCAACCACAGCCTTTGTTCAGTGGTTCATACAACCAAAGGGCCTGGCACTCCAGGAATTCTCAGGTATTTTGTAGTAGATGGGGTTTTTCCTCAGCCTTATACCTGTTATTGTAGCTTTGAAGCACCTCAAACAAATCTGCAAACTTCACTCAGGGCTTAAAACCTCAACTCCCCATGTTTTGGGAGAAACTTCAGCAATTAAAGTACCACTGACCTGCTGGTTTTCTACTTCTTTGAGGATAAGAAATCGCTTTGTTTACAAACTAATGTGTCTCAAAGCTGGTGGCTCGGAAAAAAAGGTTTAGGAACAAAAGACACTCCTGAAGAAAAAAATCCAAGATCAAATTGTTCCCTTGCAACCAGCTAGTGCTCCCTGGAACTTCCAAAGCTACATGTGCTTGACAGCCAAAGCTTTCTCGTGCAAGAATCCGTTGCCAACAGTGATTAACAGTGGCTGTTTTGTCTGTAGAGCAAAGTTGCAGGTTTGCTCTCTCATGTCCTCAGTAAGGATAAATCAGAGAAGACAACATACAAAATAAAATTCCGAGCTGACTGTTCCTCTAATGGGCTGAATTTTAGGAATTTCAGCACAAAAAGCAGTACACAATGTGCAGAAGACATTTAAACACCCTTCAGCTGCATCTGTCATGAACAACACACCACCTACAGAGGTGAGAAAAAACCCACCGTTTAAACAGGAAAACATCTCAAAGGTGCAAGTTATTTTTCTCTCTGCTAAGTATCCACTCCCTACTACCCACATAAAGCTGCCACAATTAGGTTACTTCATCTTCACCACGGAATTCTCTGCAATAAAATTGTGCAAGGGAGCAGGACGATTCGCCCTGGAGAACATGCGTGCCACAAAACAATGGTTAACAAGGAGGGTGCAGCTCATTGTTAGCCAACTTCGTCTAATTTGGGCATCAATCACCTTAACATCACCTAAGACAATGGCAGCTCACACAGATGCAGATGATATCAGAAACACCCAGTGCTGTTTTCTCCAAGGGTATTGTTCACTGACCAAAGAGTGAGAGCAAGGCTCAGGAAGGTCATCTCCCCAGCCAGGGCAGCAGAAGCTGTGGGATTCCATGCTCCCCTTTATTCTGTGGATAGCAGGACATGGAGCATTTCAAAGACTAGATATGTAAGCAGGCTGGCTAATGATCACACTGCCAAAAGTTGGTAGTAAGGCAATTTCTATTTTATTTACAGGTCTCAAAGTTCATCCTTATCTTTGGACTTCAACCTATTGGGGTCAAGTAAGACAGAGCCACATTAGATAATACTTCCCCTCTAGTGCAAAGCAGCAGAGAGGGAGAGAGAGAAAGGGGAGAAAAGTTACAACATTCAAGGGAGGACTGAATTTGTGTTCCAGGGCTAGTGCTCTGCAAAAGATATTCAGGGTCAATTATCCTGCTCTCCCCAACAAGCAAGAGCAAGTATTGTATTTACCTCTGCTTCTGCTATTAGCTGCATTTTCCTTGTTATCACGTGGTCAACATCAATTCGGCCTAAGGAAGGAAAGCAAACAGTGAATATTTACATTTTTAGCTGCATGTCTAAAAACACAGAAAGCACAACATACAGTAACTCAGACACCACTTTTTCAATAGCATTTCTGACTTCTAATAAAGTCCCAGTAAGCTCAAACCAAAGCTGCAGGGAGTTCATAAGCTAAGAGCAAGTGTTATACACAGTCAGTTAGGATCACAGCACTGGAAGGCAGTGAACAGCTGATAACATGTTGGATTTTTGGAAGCTTTATTTTCCATCAGCAACTCTTCCCAAGGTCCCTAAACATATCCAGCCTTGAAGCAGCAATCAGAACGACCCTTAGAAGGTCATGTCCAGTGTGCTGAGCTTTTATCAGAGCTTTATCTCACGCACAGTGAGCCAGACATAAGGTTAGTTTGTCTGGAGGTCTCTACATTGCCAATGGACAAGGCAGTCAAGGCATGGCTATCAGTAAAATACCACCATCAGCTCTAAGACAGGCTGAATGGCAAGCTGGAAGGTCATCCTGTGTTCCAACCTGGCTATTCCCCCTCCAGTGTGCTGAGCTTTTATCAGAGCTTTATCTCACGCACAGTGAGCCAGACATAAGGTTAGTTTGTCTGGAGGTCTCTACATTGCCAATGGACAAGGCAGTCAAGGCATGGCTATCAGTAAAATACCACCATCAGCTCTAAGACAGGCTGAATGGCAAGCTGGAAGGTCATCCTGTGTTCCAACCTGGCTATTCCCCCTCATCCCCAAGGTCATCCTGTGTTCCAACCTGGCTATGCCCCCTCCTTTCATCCCCAAGGAAAAGTGCTAGATATTAGTGTGACTGTATTCCTCAGTATGCTTTAAACAAACAATCAGGTCCAACATGCCATCAATAGCCAACTTTTATTACTGGTACCACTGGCTAAGAGGAGGTAAAGCCTCACAAATCACCTTGCTTTTGCACAAACTGCTACACACATCTGAGATGCCTCTGCTACATGAAGAGGAACAACATGCACAACTCAGACATCTCAGACTAGTTGAGGTTTAGGGCAAGCACCAGCTGGTGTTTCACTTCTCCAGTCAGAGCAACACAGAAGATAAAGTTACTTAAAACAGAGAGTCTTGCACATGAATGAAAAGCAAGATTAAAGCAGCAGCATCCACCCCCCTAAAATACCAGTCAGGGTGAAAAGATAGCAACAAACTGCCTTGTGCATATCCCTTGACAATTATAGCTACAGCACCACCTTGTACATGGACACACTGTGAGGATTACAACTTGCATGTTCAGTTTCTAAGACAACATTACCACTTCTAGAAAAAGAAGGTATTGCACTGCTTCCCTAATAAGATTCCACAGAAGCATGAGACCTGCTAGAGAGGTGCCAAAGTTGTGCTGCTGTGTGACAGGAAGACACCACTATCACAGTCCACAGTGTGGTCTCTTTGTTTAGACTTCCTCGTCTGGGCACAGCCTCTGCACACAAAATGCAGGTGCTGCTTTACCAGAAGCTGTGCTGCTCACTAGACTGAGGGTGCCCTTGGGAGAAACTGGTTTGAACAACTGATTCAAAGAGTTTTAGGCAGATCTGCTTCAGAGATGGCTCCAACTCCAATACTGGAAAAAAGTTAAAACAAGAAAGTTGACCTTCAGTGAAACTATGCTCAGTTGTTGGCATTAATTCCCTTTCCCACCAAACAGAAAGATTTGTTTTTGTCTATAAAAACTGCCCTATGCTCAGTTGTTGGCATTAATTCCCCTTCCCACCAAACAGAAAGATTTGGTTTTGTCTATAAAAACTGCTACACAAATCACACACTTAAGACCAGACCAGCAACAACTGCCTATTCCTTAGCAGCCTTTCACTGTGACAACAAACAAGGACACTGCTGAACACCATGAATTTTGGCTTCATGCAAAGACCCGTTTTTACAAAAATAGAATTCCTGGTTGCTAAGCATCTCACCTCCAAGACAAAAAAAA